AATGAAAAATATCCAACTTTTAATTACGCCACTCCCATTCTTGTGTCGTACGAGTTTCTTCAACCGTGCATAAGTTCTTTTAAATTTTTTCAAAATATGAGACTAAAATTGATTTATAATTTCTTTCAATTAAACTATATTTTTTGGGGAAAAAGTAATGATTATGTAGAGATATGAACTGTAAAAGAAAACTAATATTGGACATTAATATCAAATATTATGTTTAATCAAAATGTTTGATTATGTGCTAATTACATCCCTAATTATATGGGATTATGACGTTCAGGCAAATTATGTAATTACCTTTTACACATCTTTTCAAGTGTATAAACAGGACTTGTACAATTTATAAAAAATATACAAATACAATATATATATATATAGACTTAGTTTTGAAATTCTTTTCATCTTAGACATTCTTTGGTAGACTCTGCTACTCTTGCTTCTTAGAGCCAGGTTTTTAAGCTTCCACTCATTCAAGTTTTTTTCTGTCCCTGAAATTCAAACAGAAAACTTGGTTGTCGAACCAATCGTCACAGTCACAAAATTAAACCTAAATACCTTAGTTAGCAGTAAGCAGAGTCGAATCCACAGGGAGCAAGACTAACAACCTAATGTATTTTGAGTAGCGGAAATGAAATTGACAATTGATTAATGAAACTAAACAAACTAAATATAAATAATAAAACGTGAAATTAAAACTAACAAAGACTTTATAATAAAAATGTTGCCGTTACGGTTTTGGTTCGACACGAGACTGACTCACACAATTCTCCTCCACCCTCTACAATCCCCTAAACCTACAAGGCAAGGTAAATCAATGAAATGTCTTCCTGACACTCTAGGTATAATCTATCATGTCTCACCCGATCACTCAAGTTTGATTGGTTAAAGACTATCATTGAACGCCGATAAACGCTACAAGGCAATACTACTAGTTGGTAAGCGATTAACAAATACAATTTGTCAACATGTATATCCCAATCAACCAACTTCACAATAAACGCAACAATAGTAGAAATTAAATTAAATCCGAACACAACTCAATTACAATGATGAGAAATAATGAAAAGCAATATTCATCATTTAATTATGTCAAACCAACGTTTATCATTCAGCAAGTTCTATGAAACATTAAATCATAATGGACAACAATATTCATCACATATTATGCTCAAACCATATTAAAGTATCAAAATCAAACATGAAACGAAAACAAATATAATCCAAAGCACAATACTACCAAATGTCCTATAATCGGGTTCATCCAACTAGTCGAGAGTTGATGAGCAGAGTCGTGGAGTCAATCTCGATCTCGCCTAAGTTGTAACAGACAACTGGGAACTTAGCCGCTCATGGTGGTGATGACGGAGGCTGAAACGGTGGAAACAAAGCTGATCATGGCGAAGAGGAGGTAACCGACAGCGATATGATGTGAAAAAGGGCTGAAAACGACCAACGAACAGCCCGGAATACGAACAGTCGCACTCGCTGAAAAATTTTAATTTTCCGGCGAGTCTTCCGAAAAATGGTGGTGGAAATGGGATCCGAAGGTACTGATGGAAAGCTTTGGTGATGGGGAGTTCAAATCAGGTCCTGAGGAGGTGAAAAGTCATCGAAAACGAGCAAGATCTAGGCTGGAAGATGAAGAGTCGCGATGGCTAAATGGCTGATTCTGGCGGTTTTGGTGGTGGCTGAAGTTTGGGATGTGTAGATCCGATCGTGGGGAAGGGAGATCAAGTCCTAGGGAACCGAAATGTCACTAAAAAACGGCGAAATCTGGCTTGGAAGACGAAAATTTGCATTGGTGAAAGATGAAATGTCGCGACGTTTCGCTGGTTTATGGTGGCGATTTGCGGTGGTTTTGGTGGCTGATGAAGATCGGTGCACAAGGAGATGGATCGTCGCCGGAGGCTGCCGGAAAAGAAGCTGAGGAGTCGCCGGAAAAGATGGATGAACAACTCCCCTGTACGCGACCTTTCATTTTCATTTTATAAACAACCTATAAAATATCAATTTGGTCCCTATATGATTGAAAATTGACAAAATCAACCCTTGTAAATATGACAGTTTACCCCCTAAACAGCATAAATGAGACAAAATCACCCCTAATCCATAAACCACAACCTAATATCAACTCATATCCTTTCCAAAATCATTCCAAACATGTTAAATTAATAAGAAAAATATTAGGAAGCGATTTTCGTAAATAAATTCATAAAATCTTTAATTGTCTCAATATACTTCAATTTAATCACACTTGTGGTATTTTTATCAGTCACTTTCATGACTTTAACATTGGTTAGTCTTCATATATTTTTTTTGGTTCAAAAATGACAAACAATCAAACCACACACACTCTTCCAAACCCCACAGGCCAACCTCCTCACGGCCCAAATACTCAAACTCCACCAACTCACACAGGCCAACCCCAACCTGCCTAAACCCAACACCAGATCAACAAGGCCCAATCCCACCAAATCATATCGGCCCAATCCCAACCAATCCAATACACCATCAAACCAGCCCAATCCCAACCATCCCACACGCAATACACCATCAAACCGACCTAATCCCAACTGGCTCAAACACAATACCACAAATCGAACTACTTCCCATACCCGTTTGGATTATCGGGCCCCACATTGGGTCAAGATTCCCAATCGGCTTCAAATCCCTACCCAACTCAATACCCCTTCAACTTCCAAAACCAAAATAGAATGAATAAACCGAAATCATATTGAGAAGCCTTAGTCATCAAGTCTTCAATCTTCAAGATAAGACTCCTCCCCAATTATGAAAAATAGGCTTTAATTAACTAGGGTAAAATTAAACTCTTTTCCTATCAATAAAGAATATCACTCATGCTAATAGTCGAAGAACCCTAATTCTTTTGATAATCTTTCTCAAGTAATACCAAAAATAGTCTCACACATTAATCTACTATATCTCAAAGTGAATTAAAAATATATGAATGCTCATTAAGATCAATGGTAATTCATAGATTAACCGCACAAATCAGGTTAGTACATCTCTNTTACTTACTGAGCATTAGTTGTGCTCACCCCGTTGTTTTCTATGTTTTTGCAGGATCTAGGTGAGGACATAGTCGGATATAGTCGGATGGACATCGGCGGGCGAAGGGAAATGACTACACTGTCCACGTTGTTTTGATGCTTTTGTACATGATACAACTTTTTGCATAAAGAATGTATATGTTTAATAAAAGAAAAATTTGGGCCCAACCTTTTTATGCTATTTTATATGTATTTTATTATGTACATGTTTTATGAATATTTAAGTAGAACGCGGCTATTACAATTACCCTAGCAAAGAGAAAAATTAGTTCATCATCAAATTAAGAGAAACCAAAAACAGATTCATTATCATAATAGAATAAATTGAAAAGTACTATAAGAAGAAAAATCCTCAAACTTGCCCACGTCAATTTGTTCAATTCTAGCTTCTTGAGTTATTTTCTCTCCTCTCAATTTGTGTAGAGATGTCGGCACGACTTGTGCCATCGACTTAGAATTTGGCACATGGGCCGGCATGGCACGGCCCATGAATTTAAAAAAAAAAATTAATTTTTTGAGAAAAGCTTATGCGGCATGTGCGCTAGCCCACGAAGGCATGATACAGCCCACCAGGTCATGGGTCGTGTCGTGGACTTCAGTTTTGGTTGTCTAGCATGGTCTGGCACAACCTACATTTTTGTGGGCTGTGGCTAGGACTGCAGTTGAACCGAGTAGCTCGTGAGCTACTCGGATTCGACTAGTGACGAGCTCGGGCTCGACTCGTCGGAGAACGAGTAGTTCTCGAGTTCGAGCTCAACGTCAAGCTTGTGAAAACTGTCGAGCTTTTCATGCTCAACTCAAACTGTTCGCGAGCTGTTCGACCAACTGGAGACGTCATTCGAGCAGGAGATTGAGTTGTGTTAATATTTGCCCTAAAATCTGAAATCAAGTCATTCATTCGGCCGAAAACAGACATTCAACTATTCACCTCCAAAACATAGCGCAAGATCTGAGACCACCATTGTCCAGCCTTCATCCAGCCTTCATTCAACTACTACCGACCAGCGACTAGCTTCAGCTACTATCGTCCACCATCGTCTTCCCTTCTTCACTTCCCTGCTGCCACAAGGTACATTTTCCTGCTTCTTGACACCCAAAGTTGTCTCTCGCCGTGAGTCTCATTCTTTAAACTTGTTTAAGTTGATTACAAATTTCTTTGTTTTCCTCTCTCTTTAGTTACGAATTCTTTTGGGTTTATGTTGACTTTGCTGCGTATTTGGAAATTGGAAGATAGGTGACATGAGTTGCGTTAATTTTTGGAAGTTTGCAGAGAAGTTGTTATTTGTTTGATGAAATGCCTCTAAAAGAAGAGTTTTGATGAAATTGCTTCTAGTCTAGTTTGCGGCTATATGGAGATTTAATTGAAATAATATAATAAGATAAAACGATGAGAAGATCCAACAAAGTTTCATCTTTATCTAATTAGTTATTGCTAATGTCGGCAATTGAGTTCAGTTCAGTGTACCCAGATGGAAGTCATTTTTAATATACACTACAAGCCTTAGCTTTCACTGGCGTCAACTCTTTTCCTCACAGTTGCCAATTCCTAGATATTCTTAATCACATTTGCCAATTAGTTATTGCTAATATCACATGTTTGTTCAGCTATTGCCTAAAATAAAATTGTTTGTGCTGTCAAGTTACATAACAAATCACCTAATATTGTTTTAGTATTATAACTTTCATAATAGATTTGGGAAATGAGTAATGTATGTGCATGAGGTTAGTGTTGATAAAATATATGGAGCTACTTGTCGTGTTTGAGAACTGAATCCTCTGTGTATGAAGAAATCTGGTTATGACAGAAAATAAAAATTTCAGATAAATGTCTCAGTGCAAAGCTGATTTGGTCATGGTGTCAATTATTCACTAGTGCCCACTCTAGTTGAAGTATTGTGAGAACTCAAAAACTAAACTTGTTGTGGCTACTATTTATCTGTTTGGGTTTACTTTTTGTGGTGGGAATTCAGTGGATGGTTTAAAAAAATATCTGCACTTTCACCAGAACTTACAAGGGACAGATTATCCCATGTTGTTGTGACATTAATAAATCTGTATATGCCAACCCTTCTGTGCCTGCCTGTTCATGTTGTACTTTGTAATCTTTACCATTGGCTGTTAAATGTGGTTCTACTGCCTGACATGTTCATTTTAGGCTGTCCTTTTCTTAAAGAAAATAAAACATTGGTTCAGCATATTAGAAATGTCCTTGGTCAGACATTCATTTTATGTTTTGTCCTATTGGAATAGTTGTGCAGATATCTGGTCTGATCATTTATGTGAACTGCTAATGTTATATGTTTTGTTGGTATCTTTCATTGTAAGATATGAATATTCTTGTGTGGCATTATTACTGATCACTTAATTATTAGTTATGGTCACTATGATTTACTGTCCTTTTTTCTCCCAAAGGTCTATCTGATACTCAGACGAATTTATTCTAGCTGGAGAACTTCAAGAAACAAGCAAGAGGGTATGCATTTCTTGGATCTTTAGTTACTTATTCGTGTTTTTGGTACTGAACTTGTCAACCATTCTAGCTATTTTGGAGCCCCTAGTATTGGTGCTTTGTAGTCCCTTTTAGCCCCTTTCCATGAACTGGTGATATATTGAAACAGTTTGGGTAGCCTCTCCCCTTTTCTAAAATTTCACCACCCTAGGTGATGACAGGATCCAATCATTGATCTCTGTTTGATGCCTAGAGGCTTGACTGGTTACATTAACGGGCACCACTTTTCATGCTTTGTGTTGTTCATTGTTTTCCGGGTATAATGGCTTCTCTGTAATTTCAATGGCAAAGCATTTTTCTATTCCCTCTTTTACACTGGTTGTTGGGGTGATAAATTTGTATGAAACCATAATTTGCAGCAATATTGATCTTTTTCTGTAATATGCAGGCAATCATTGAGAGAATGGGGGAACTGGAGAAGCTAGAGTGAAGAATTAATTATTAGTAAATGTTGTCTGGATTGCACTTTGGTTTATATTTTTTATTTTTTTCCCAAGTTGATGGTGCTATTATATGATTTGTTTACCCATTTTTGCACAGCCAATCCCTTCTCTACACTCTGCTCGTGATGATCTGGACTGTTTTTATTTATTATATATATCAGTAAAGCATGCATTCTTGAGGGTACTGTTTTCCTTTTTCACTTTATATATATATATATAAGTGGTTGATTTTATATAATGAATGTGCTGGTTTTGGGGATTGTTATAAAGTGGTGGTGGTGGATCAACAATTGAGCAAGCTTTAGACTATTTCGGTCTTGACTCTACCAACCAGCTGACAGCATATATTCAATCATGTTAGTGAAAGATTTTAAGATTGATGTTTCAATTTTAAACCGAGCTTCAAAGAAATACCTAGCTTTAAGGTAGGATACATAATTGACAATTTGATCTACTACAGAAATTAACTAATAAAATCTTTTTTTGCATAATTGACAATTTGACACATCATATCTCATACTTGAAAAATTGACCGTCCGTGAATGTTCTCGGCTTCTGCTATTTCTTCCTAGCCTCCTTCTTCGCTGTAGAAACAATCAAAATTAAAACCTCAAAATACGATGAGAGGTAAAAAAAAGGGGCAGAAAAACGTGCTACTAACCCAATTTCCTCTTAGCTTCAGATGCTGCAAAAAACTCTCTCCATTCATCAGTTAGAACAAAGATGGGCTCCTCAGCTGCTTCCTCTTCCTCTTCTACTAAACCTTTGTTGTCCTCATCTTGCATATCATATGTTACGCAAATATTATGTGAAAAACTTAAAAGACTTTGTTTGAAGTTTTCCAAGCATTCCCTATGTACGATATTTAATCCATTCATGCATCGGCTTCAAAATTAATCAAGCATGTGACCGTCAATGACTGATTTTGTTCATTTTGATTTGCTGATTAAAGAAATCTACCAATCCAAAATGTGTTTTGAGAAAAACCCAGATGAGTTGTTGAGTTGATAAGGGACAGATGTGTTCATTTTACACAAAAAATGAAAATAATTGCAATAGTTGAAGCTGGGTTTGAAGAGAGAGAGAATGAAAAAGAGTTGTGGAAGAAGAAGGTGTAAATTGGAGTGGTAATTCACGTTGATGAGAAGAGGTAGTTTTGGGAAATGAAAGAAGAAAGAAGAAGACGCTGTGCTTTGTTTTGCTGGAAAAAAGTTGCAAATGAGCTTGGCTCAAGCTCGACTCTTCTCGGCTCGGTTAGGCTCAAAACTTGACAAATCAAGCCGAGTCGAGCTCAAGCCACGTAATTTAATTAACGAGCCGAGCTCGAACTCACAAGCTGGAGCTCGACGAGCTCGAGCTCCCACCTTATCTCAACGAGCCGAGCTAGAGCCGGCCACTACTCGGCTTGGCTCGGCTCGTATGCACACCTAGCCATGGCATGGCACGGTGAGCTGTGAAAATTTTGGTACAAAATAGGAATTCTAAATAAATAGACTTGTTTGGAAAAACAACTCTAATAAATACATGAACCCCACATCTTCAAATGCAACTCAAAAGTAATTCCAATTCCCCCTTGCAATTGTAAGGCGAATGTCACTCTAGTTCCTTTAATTTATTCTTCCCTCATTATGCTCTCAAAATTCTTTCGGCTTTCTATTTTCCCATGAATTTTCAATTGTTTTGGCCCAAATAAAGGGGCAGTTTATTAAAAAGACATTTGAAGTTTACATTTAATTAAAAGGCTATCAAGTTTTAAAGTGTTAACTAAATAGCCATATTATTGATTAAGGGTCATTAGTGCTTAATTAGGATTAATGAAGTATTATGTAATCTTTTCAAAATTATACTATATTCCCGCAAACCCGAAATTGTGATTGACTACATAACTCCTCTTTTAATTATATTAGAGCATCTTCATTATTTTTAAAATAAAGAACATAATTTTTATTTAATCTAATAGATTTTTTAAAATTATTAACTGTATCTTATATTGGGATTAGAAATTTTTGTCGAAGAATTGTGAGAAAAATCTCTTTTAATAAAGATTGATAAAATAAAATAAAGATAATTGTTATACCTGGGAAATCAAGGGCTTAGTGAGAAATCACGTGATGGGGTGACCTGCTCCCGTCAGAACGGTAAGCACACGTTTGGCATGCAAGGCGCCATGGAGCTCCACGTGTCCATTTCCCTGCTCCAAATTTCGTAAAATCAGCTTGGAAGGTGGGCATGTGCATAAAGCCGGATTTAGTCCTGACATTGCACCAACCCATGGATTTAATGATGGTAATCTGCACTCATTTCACTATAAAAAGGAAAGATCTTTTCATTAGAGGATTCGGCCTTCTGCACTCTGAACTAGCTTTCTCTCTCTCTTTATCATTATACTTTTGTATTTACTTTTCCCCATTATTTGTAAGTCAGTCCGCTGTTGCAACCTGACCCACGATTCTAATCAACTATCAGTGGACGTAGGATTTGCTACCTTAGCATCCGAACCACTTTAAAAAGCTCTCATTGTTACATTTACTCTACATTTCATCCATAATCACGTGGTTCTCTTGACCATCAACGTTCCCACGTGTCGATTAGCTGGTGCCAAAATCACGCATCAATAGTTTTGGCGCTAAAAGGAGGGCCTGATTTAGTGTTCATCCTTCATCAGGAGAATCTTCAACCTACTGGTCCTACAGCAACAAATAGCCCGCCAATCTGAACCTGAGCAAGCCAACCAGCGCGCTGAGGGAGTTCCTCTAACCCAGGGGGATACCCCTTCTAGGATACTTGCAGTTTCACAAATGCTGTGGTGGATATCCCGGCAGCTTCGCAGCTTGACCCCGCCATCAAAAGCTACCTGGAGAGGTTCGACAATACTCTTCAAACGGTTAACCAGAGGCTGGACCGTTTTGGACCAAGGCATATCATCTAGAACAGTTGGGCGGTGCAACCGCCAAAAACGCCTACAGGTCGCACGAAAGCGCGGCAGAGGGAAATAGCCTGTGCCGCGAGCACTGTAGCGCATAGACGTAAGGGCAAGCAAGTGGCAAAAACAGCCTACAGGCTCCCAAGGACCAGCGAACACAAACCGTGCCCCAAGCAGGGTGCCGACAAAGCTGAGACTCGACGAAAAAGTGATACCCGAGCTGTCCCATGCCAAGTCGCAGATGAACCCAAGCAAAAGTGCCGGGCGCGACGATTCCTATCACCGCTAGCAGAACGATCCTGATCGCTATCATGCGGGGATCCCCACACCTCGCGGGGCGGTTCGTACTACCGTGAGGGTCGTGAAAATGCCTGCACAATCCATCGCCTTCACACGCCTCTAGTTAGCGTGTGTCGAGAGCGGCTGGAAATGCCGGTCGAGGCTAACAAGAGTCCACCTCCGGACTTTCCTGAACCATAATCGCGAAGGCCTGACTCGCATGGGTGAAAGCAATCCCCAATTGGCTCTGTTACCACAAATTAAGGTCGCTCCCAACGGGATCGATCAGTTCGTGGCCTCAGATAAGCACGAGGTTCCTACGGCATTTCCAAGCAAATCGAAAGTTTTCGATGCCTTTGAGCTACCTCAGCAACATAAGGCAAGAAGAGACGAATCCCTACAATCTTACATCGACCGTTTCCACAGGGAACTCAACAGGGTGGCTCATGCCCCCGAAGAGTCCATCCAAACACTCATACTAGCTGGAGTTCACCCAAACCGACCTGTGGAAAGAACTACGGCTGAGGACGATTTTTCCCTCACTAGATTTTACAACCTTGCAGAAAAATATCTCCGAATAGAGAATTCATTGGCGGCACTCCGTTGTCCGCATCACGGCACTTCAAGCAGTATGTTTGGTCAGGGGGAAGGTAGCAGAATTGATCGCAAAGGAGACATCGACGATCAGCAAAAGGAGAAACCCCCTCTACGAGCACAAAAAGCCTATGCTCCTGTTCCTCATCGCGACCGAGACAGAGTTCATACACTCCGCTGAATGTGTCCATATCTGCAATTCTTGACAAATCCGAGGAGGCAACTTGCTCGGTGAGCTGGAACCCATGAAAACCCCTACTATGGCTAGAAACAGCAAAAAATACTGTTGTTTCCATCGGACAACGGGCATCACACCGATGATGCCGAGCTCTAAAGCAGGTAATCGAAGAGCTCATCAGAAAGGGCACTTCAAGGAGCATATTGATGACTGCTCTGAAAGAGAACCAGGGAGCAAAAGAGAAAGCGTCGTGATCGCAGTAGATACAGTATGTTTTAACATAATCTTCGGAGGCCCGCACCTTGTGGGAAACACCGAGGTGTGCAGGAAAAGTACGCTCGCGAGCATATCACGACCCAATCAGTGTAATGAACACTTCGCAGCGACCGCAAAAGGGTCAAAAGGAGGAGCCGATCACCTTCTGTGAAAAGGAAGTAGCTCGCTTGCACCATCCTCACGAGAGACCCTGGTGTGACACGCCCTTGATAGGGTGCCATATTGTCTGCAGAATGCTCATGGACAGGAAGCGCTGTGAACATCCTGTTCCAGACCGTTTTTGAAAGAATGAACCTAGACAGGCTAACCTGAAGCCTGCCTCGATACCTCTTTATGGTTTAACAGGAGACCACCTGATCCCCAAAGGAACGATTCAACTCCCAGTCACACTCGGCGACTACGATAGGTGACTAGGGTTTCGAATTTTTGGTCGTGGATTGCCCATCAGCCTTCAATGGAATCTTGGGGCGACCTCTGTTGAGAAGTTTCAAGGTAGTCACTTCCATATACCATCTCAAGATGAAGTTCCCACTCCAACGGGGATAGGGGAAGTGAGCGGATCGCAAAGCGCATCTCACGAATCTACGTAAAAGTGGTACAGATGGCAAGCAAGGGAAAGGGCATTTCGCAATGTGCGCCTCGCTAGGCTATGGCGATCCGCCGGATCGAGCCACAGCCTGGTCCAGCGGGAGGATAATTAGATCCTCGAATCCAGAAATCCCTCCCAGCGGCCCGGTTGAGGATCTGTCCGAGATTTCGGTTGATCCCAAAAGAGTCGAGTCGAGTGTAAGAATTGGAAGCTATCTCAACCCTCAGCTCGCTTCCGAACTGATAAGCTTCCTGGTT